ACTATATCGGAAAAGGATCCATCATCTTATGATTATCCTTCATTTGAAACCAGGTCAGCGTTCTCCACCACCAGCTTCCAGCAGCTGCCTACTCAAAAATACAGCACTCTGTGTTATTCTGCTCTGAAAGAATAGAACGCCAAAGTTCACTTCTGGGTGCATCAAATTAAAGTTCGAAGGGATGGCTGCACGGCTGCATTCAATCAGCTTCCAGATTTTTGAGATACAGAACCTTAAATTGTAAAAACCTTTAGCCAGAGCTTCCATTTTTTCTCCATTCAATTCTCACGCACATACACACAAAAACCAAGTAATATCCTGAGCTGATTTTGTCTGGGCCCCAGTGCTAAGCAAGGTCAGACTTGGTTAGTATTTGGATAGGCGATTCCAGGGAATCAAGATGGCTTGTTAGACTGGGAAATCAACAAAAAATTCCAGGAGAAAAATGACAAACCACTTCTGTATTATTGGCAAGAAACTTACAAGTTGGCACACTCCAATCTCATTGCTTTAATGGGTTCAAGTTAATTCAGTAGTCACAAAGACAAGATACAGAGAAAGTTTCGATCATATAAAACAAGAGATTGCTCCACAGAGAGGAAATGTTTAAAACCTAATTTTAAAAAAGCAAATGAAATTTATAACTTGAATTCAAGTCGTTTTGGTTTTAAAAGGACAGCAGTGCTTGATGTACGGCGCTGATAATATTGTGCCTGATGCTTCATAAGCTATTTTGAGGACTACAAAAAAACGGATGGAACTTTTAAAGATAATCAGTCGATGAAAGGTCCAACTAATTATCAGCCTGTGAAGCAATAAACACAACAGCAATTACAAGAAGCTGAGATTCACAGCATGCCCCTTGAACTCAGAAAATATTTTGTAATCTACATAAACATTAACTGAATAATTCAATGAGCTGGGCTTCTGGGGGATATACCCTCCCTCCAGCTGCTAGATTTGAGGCAAGCCATTCTGCTACATGATTTGAAGCACAAGGCCAAATTGCTTGGGAGTGGAAGCATAATTGTGGTGTTTCAGTTGCTGTCATATGATTGAACGACATTCCTTTCCAATTACTAAAGAGCTTGAAGCTGAATCACCAGAATGACGTCATAAAAGGATACAGCACTGTATTCCAGAGCAATCTTCTATATTGCTTTTCAAAGAGGAAGCCATCCTCTTAGCAATAGAAGAAATTGACCAGAAAAGAGCGGAACAGACATCGAATCTCAAGTACAGAGTCATGGCTTCTGCCTTTAAGAAAGGTTAACTGAATAAAAAGGAAGTCTGGATCCTAACTGGACAAGAAGAAGAGAGACAGGGAAAGGTTAATCAAACTGGGGAAACCACATATTGGTTGAAGAACAAAAAGACCCATCAGCTTATGCGCACTGGTGGAAGGCACACGTCACCAAAGTGTTGGTTCAAATAGACCAGTGTTTCTCAACCTTGGCAACTTTAAGATGTGTGGACTTCAACCCCCAGAATTCCCCAGCCAGCTTCTCACAACTCAGGAGAGAAAGCTAGAGTCAAGCCCTATTCTGCAGACTTTGCACCAACTACAGTGAGTCTCTCTGAAGAGCTCTCTGTTAAAGAATATACCCATCAAAGCAAACTTAAAATTGTCCCCGATATGACTCTATTTGCTCTTCTCACCACAGCAGGGTTTTTCAGATGGTTCAGGAGATAGCAATGTGTATTTAAAGGGGAAAAAAGCCATTTGGTCTGAATAAACCTGTGAATACACAGCTCCAGAATCAGTTTTGCAACCCTATGGCTGGAGATTTCATATAGGCAATCCCCACCTCAACACTCTTCGCTTCTAAATTCCCCACGGAAGCAACTTTCCACTGTGTAACATCTGCAATCAGCTCTGAGTGCCCCGCAAGCAGACGAGGCTTGCTGCCAGCATACCAGCCTCTTAATGCAGTCAGAACATGTGATTTCAGCTGGACTGTAGGACTTCACTGGAATAAAGAAAACCTGATAAAAAGAAGAAGACTGTCGTGTGCACAGAGAGATTACAGCAGTCATGCATCTCAATGTCCTCTGCAAGTTTCAACTGATGGATTAATCCAAGGCCAGATGTCTTACGGATGAGTTCTTTACACTTCTTTCCTTCCAACAGGACAAAGGAAAATCATGACAACCCCCAATCGGTTAAATCCAAGGATGTTCATCAGAAGAGGCAACTTTCTTCCCTGGTCAAAATCAATGCTTGCTACCATTTTAAGTCCTCAGCAATGTATAGGAGCGCCATACCATCTGACTAGCAGTCCTTGCCTGCTCATTGGGTAACAGCAGAAAATAGCTATTTCATGCAATTCTTGGGATTTTGTTGGGCATGATGGTTTTCCATCAATCCTCTGCAAATCACAAGCAAGATTTTTATCACAGGGTTTTTAAACTTCCCTGAATTAGATATTTCGACTTCAAACAGCTCAGTACAAAGAATCCTGATTCTTTGCTGAGTCTTAGTGGATGGTCGGTATATTGGTAACGCCAAACTCTTGAGGAGACTGGAAAGACTGCCATTCATCCAAGCCTGCCCTCAGGAATCTGCAGAAGCAGCAACATTTTGAAAGAAAAATGTGCAGGATTAAATCAAGCTTACCTCTGCTCTTCCATTTGCTAATTATCTGACAAGCCTTCACTACAATTCTCTTCTGCCCTGCATTCTTGGCCTGACTTATTTATGGATCTGATGTGGCAATCCAAGAAGCTGATAGCATTCACATACAAACCACTTTAAAAGTTCAGAAGTTCTTAGTGTAACATTTTTTAAAGCGCCTATTTCTATGCCATTCTGACCAATTCCTCTCAGTGAGAACATCACAAAAGTAACGCTTTGCCACTTTTTCATAAAATGATGCCTGTGAAGATGGCTCAAACTTCCGTGCAAACTCTATTTTCCTTTCCACCATTTGCATTTGTGACCTCTTTTTTTTCCTTTCTGTACATTCCTGGCATATTTCCCACTTAACAACATACTCAGAGACTCCCGTCTGCAAGGCTTAAGGATATCTCTAAGGCTATTTTCCCACAGTTATTAATGATCCAAACGAGTTAAGTCTGACCACCTGCCATTTCAGTTTCCTTTTGTCTGTCTGGAGACATTCAGCAAAAAGATACAGATCAAAACATTCCCAGAAAAGCAAGTCCAAGAGAAAGATGCAAAGGAAGTCTTTCTCAGCTAAAAAAGTGTGGCTTAATCCTCATGGTTTGTTCTTTTTCTTTTTAAACTTTGTTCCTTGAAGTCTACTGTCAAGAGACTATGCTGACATCAACAGACCCAACTTCAGAATCTTCAGCAAAGAAGGAGGTATATAAAGATATAAGGCCAGCAGACACAGGCAGATCATTTAGGGGTAGGAGAGAACAAGAAGAGCCCACTGTATTTAAAAAAAAGTTCTGTGAAGAAAGCCACAGGCCTAGGGGAGAGAAAATGCAGGCTGGACACAACGGCACTCTTCAAATGCTCCAAAAACTATCACACTGAAGTTGGCGAAGATTTTTTCTCTGCTGCACCAGACACAGGACTAAATCATAAGAAACATGATGGGAAACGTCTTGATATTACAAGCAGTTTGACAGTAGAACCAACTCCTAACAAGGATGGTGAACTGTCCCTCACTGGTGGTCTTTAAATGAATGCAACAGAGGAGCCTGCAGCCCTCTCGGTAAACTACAATTTCCTGCAGTGTACTAAATGGCCAAAGACGTTGAGAGTTGTAATTTGGAAACATCTGGAGAGTCACAGATTGTTCACCTTTGAAGCACATGAAGGGTAGTTATTGGCTGGGAACACGCTTCCTCTAGCTTTCCTGAGATTTCCTGAACCAAAGGGTGGCTGCTGTAATGAAGGTGGGGAACCTTTAAGCTCTCCAGATGTTTCTGAACTGTTACATCCCAACAGTTCCTGCCAGCGTTGTCAATGATGACGGATGTTAACAGCAGCAGTTGAGTGAGTCACTGCTGTGAGTTGGGTGGCCGTATAATTCATTCATTCATTCATTCATTCATTCATTCATTCATTCATTCATGGAAGGAAGGAAGGAAGGAAGGAAGGAAGGAAGGAAGGAA